CCACCCTCTCCCGGCTGCCGTTCTAAACGCTGGGCCAGAAAGTGCGGCCAGACCGACGGCCCATCCTAACAACGGGCACCTACCCATTAGGAAAAGCAAGGATAATCCAGATCACATGAAGGGCGTCAGAAGCAGAGGAGCACAGAGGCCAGCCACTTCTCCGTATTTTCAACCAAAGCGTAAAGAATTCAGGGAATATGATTTGTTATCTTTCGATGTTCTTTGCTTTTTGCCTCATCCTTTGGGGAAAAAATGGAGCCATTTTTTCTGGGTTTTCTCTTCACAACCTTAACAGCTAGGTGCTATTTATATTCCCATTTCACAGATGGGGAAACTGAGGTCCACTGGGGTGAAGTCGCTTGCCAAGACAGTGGCACCCGCAGTAAATGCAGAGCAGGCCCTACAGTGGACAAATCCGCAGCTAAGTGCAGAGTCCTGCTGTCCTAATAGCCCCCTGCCCAGCCCGCCCCACTGTTGTGAAAGTTGTGTGTTTTCCTGCTGTAAAGTGGCTTCCTTGAGAACAGAAGTCATGCCGGACCATCTCTGCTTTCCTCTGCAGGACCTACCATTGTTGCCTCACACTTGAAGACATCTGGGGTAAGGACGCAGCGCTTTTCTATCTTAGCTGTGAAACCTGGATCAGCGTGAGCTACGATCTCCTTGAGCCATCGGGGCTCCCTGTGCCTACACACTGCACACATAGGGGGTTGCCGCCTGGGGTTTCGGAGTATAGGGCCTCAGCCTTTACAAAGAATCACTCTGGGAGAGACGCCTGCCAGCCCACGGGCCTGCCTGCGTACACAGTTACCCTCCTCTCACCATCTTCTCCCCAGGCAGCCCCCAGGGCACAGGTGCTAAGGGTCCTGAGCCTTCAGAGAAGGGCAGGGCTGCCAGAAGGGCCTACCGGTGATGTAGTCTGTTCCTGGGCCCCACCCGGCTTCTCACACTGGCCCTGCCTGGACAGCTGCAGCCTCAGATGTTGGTGGGAGGCTGGCCCCTAATTGTTACACTCTGGGATGATTATGAAGTCAGCTGATGGCATCTCCAACCCACCCACACTAAGGGTGGGTCAGCTGCTCCCAGTTTTCTCTCTTCTGCCAGCTTGGTTTTCCTCCAGGGTGACGGCTGTGGTACCAAGCAAGCCTGATGACATCAGAGGCATTCTTCAAAGTGGGAGATGGGGAGGAGACCATGCTGAGGAAGGAAAACCTCCACGTTCTGGATGCACTCGAGCAAATGCCGAAGCCCTTTCTAAACCCCAAGTCCATGAACAGGACCGTCACTACCAAAGGACTCCCACTTTCTGCAAGGGGCAGTTTGGTTAACGTCATGGAGGAAGATTCCATCAGTCTCCCGTAAGACACATCTGGTCCTTTCCTCCTTTTTCAGGCCGCATTTGGGATTTGGCAGAGGGACTACCAAATGAGGTAGTGCTACCTTGACCTGTCACAACCTGGTCCCTGGACACTCAGGGAAGAGCAGGTGTGCAGGTCGGGCTGCGGATTTCCCACTCAAGTTAGTTCTCAGAGCATGTAGCCCTCCTGCTCCAGAAAGCTTTCGAGGATTAGTCAGAGGTGTGTTGACTGTGCTTCCGAGCCTGTTTCCATTGTACCAGCACACAGACACCCACCCAGGCCTCCCTCCAAAGCTCCTGTCCTCCAGCCCTCCCTGTTGGTACATTTGCCCACCGATTATGTCCTCCCAGTAGTCTCTGTGCCTTAGGATTATGGTTTTAGTGATCCTCCTCAGACTCTGGGTTTCCTTTACATCACTGCATAAAACTCTTTGAACACCTACAAGATATCTGGCCCAGTATTAAGTTCTGGGAATGCAAAACTGGAAAGTATAGTACCTGCCTTCAAGGAGCTCCCAGCCTGGGCTGAATGTGTATAGAGGCAGTGAGACTAAGAATAATCTAGCACAATCTGTGCTATGATGGGACTCCTCAAGAAGCCAGAAGTTAGCCAGGATGTAGTTAAGGTTTCTTGGAGGAGGTCATATTTGAGTTAACCCTCCTAGGAAGGAGAGAGTTAGCCAGTGAAGGGGAGGTGGTGGTGGTATAGGTTGTAGACCAAGGGGATTATCTACACAAGTTCATGGGTGTGTAACCTGCTCTGTCAAACATACGCCTGCACTTAGAAGGACCATCTGCTCAGTTTAATGCTTTGCTGTTGCAGACTTGGAATTTCTAGTACTTTTTTAAAGACTTATTTATTTATGCCTACAGAAATGGGGTACAGCTAGAGGTACAGTGGCGGTGAGAGGATTAACCAGAAACAGAGTGGGGATCAGAACAGGCAGATTGACAAAGTACACTGCTGAGGGGAGCAGCGGGCGGGTCAGGAGAGGTCTGCCACACCATGTGGACCTCCTCTGGGGTGGGGGATCGAACTCACACTGAGGCCGCCACGGCTTGGCTTAGCTTGGCGGTGCAGCACTCCAACCTGCTGCACCACGAGAGGGCCGGAATTCCTGATAATTTTATGAAGAAGAGGTCCCCCAAACTAGGTAGCTGGTCCTGATTCTATAAAAGGGATATGGTGTTCTTTCCCCAAGGGCCAAGTAAGCAGGTACAGCCGAAGTCACACTGCTTGTGGGAAACTTCATGGTAGAGTGGGAAAGTCTCAGGCTAGCAGCCCAAGTTCAAATCTGAGTTCTACCACTCATATATAGCCGTAGACATGTTAATTAAGACCTGGGATCCTCAGTGCCTCATTTGCAAAAGGGCAAACACCCATCCAGCAGGGATGTTGTGAAGATCAGAAAGATTATTATAGCCTGCATATCTTCTAGTGCCTGGCAGCCTTCTCTATCCCTTCAGCACTGCTTTGTGTAAGTAAATCTGAAATATATGTTCATTAGAACAATCTGGAGGATTAATGATTTCAGATAAATGATTCACACTTAAATCTACAAAGTGTAGAGCTGTGTGTGAGAGAATTCACCAGAGACAGAGTGGGGAGCAGAACAAGCAGATTCACCGAAATACACTGCTGAAGGGAGCAGCAGGAATGTCAGGAGAGGTCTGCCACATCATGTGGGTCACCTCCCTGGTGGGGAGTCAAACTTGAGCCGCATGGCTTTAGAGAGCTTCATAGTGTAGTGTTGTGCTTTAACCTGTTGCGCCACCAGGGAGGGCCTGGTGGAAGCATTTATTCCAGATGAGGGCCTGGTGCCAAGTGCTAGCATAGGAGGTTTGGGCTGATCCGCATTTCTCAGGAGATCAGTGGAATTGGAGCTCAGGGAGGAAAATTTGGCCTATCAATTACCCATGAAGCCGGAGGCTGGCCTGAATAAGGGACCCAAGGGTGTGTTTAAGTTTTTGGACCTTGCTAGCACACCCTGGGCAATGGAGCATGAAGCAGAGAGGGGCCAGAAAGCAGGTGAGAGGGGACAGCATGGCACGTGTGGCCCACAGACCTGGGCTCTCCTTCCGACTGTCACCAAGTCCTGTGCGACCTGGGTCCTTAAAGGAGTTGTGACTGCTCTCTCTAGACCAGTGCTCCTGGGCCTCCCTGGGGTTAAGTCTCAGTGCTATCACTGCTACAGCCTCCGTTAGATTCCTAGCAGTGGATTTCATTCATTGCGCCTGTTCTGCTCCCACTCTGTCTCTGGTGAGTCCTCTCACCTCCTGCCCTTCCCCCTGCACCCCAGTTCTTCTATGCAAAAGTTAAAAAATAAACCTCATTTAAAAAAATATTTTTGAGCATGCACCCAAATATATTATCTGTTCTTCTATTAATTTTACATATGATAGGTCAGTACTTTAAAAGTTATAAAATCTAAGTAAATTAGTTTCCATAGTGAACAATAGTAAATAAATGTTTTCTTTTAGGTACTGTAAGATACTGTCCCATCTCCCAGTAGACTGATAGTCATTTCCTTGGGGCATCTGCCCCCACTTTGGAAGGAAGACAAGGTTTTAGCACTGTTTCTTAGAGTGTGGTTCTTAGAATACCTCAAAAGCAGGCAGAATCCCTTAAGTATCTTTTGTTTCTAAAAGATTTATTTACTTATGCATACAGAACTGGGGGACAGGCCAGAGGTGTGGGACCAGGGTGGAGGGGGAGTGAGAGGATTCACCAGAGACAGAGTGGGGAGCAGAACAAGCAAGCTCTTAGTAAAGGTACTTTTGTAGCTTCTCAGTCCTATCCCAGATGGGAGTCAGGAATGTGCATTTTCCATTAAGCTCCTTTCGGGCTGGCTGCACTGTAGCAGAGCAGTAAGGATCTTTTGAGAGTTTCGCAAGCATCAGGACCTGTTGAGTCTGCCCAGGGCCTGCCCTCTAGAGCACCCAGGCTGCTTAAATGGGGTGGCCTTTCATTTCCGTTTTCCCTCCTGTCCTAGGAAGCCCATGCCACTGGCAGACTCTGACTGCAGCTCTGACGACACCAGCATCTCCCCCATCTCATCCACCTTGTTGAATCCTATCAAATTGGCTGTGATCCAGCCCAACAGCAGCTTCTTTGCAGGGATGCTGGAGGGTGAGCTGAACAAGCTCAGCTTTTCATCACTGGCCAAGAAAACAGAAAAGGGCAACATGGCTCTCTGCCCTCACCAATCTAAGTCCCAAACGGCCCCTGGGGGCCTGCTGGACCTCGACAAACCCGAAGCAGACACAGACACCTCTTCAACTCCCTCTGAGTCATCCGTGGTCATGGATGTGCCAGAGCCACCCTTCATCTGCGAACACACAGTCGGGGATTCCAAGGCTATGGTGCGTTTCCTGCCCCCTGCTTCAGGCACCCTTGTACTGGTAGCTCCGTCAGGCAGAGCCGAGCTCCGTGGAAGTGCGAAGGGGCCCAGCTGTGTGCTGGCCTCATGTGCATGGTTTAGGAGGAAGGGCATGACCATGAAGAACTCATTGCAAGCTAGAAGGGCTCAGTGCTGCAGGACATGTTCAGCTCTAGGGCCACCAAGAACTGGGGAAAGCTTATCCCAGTGCAGGGATAAGCTTGTGATAACAGTTGAGGTGGGAACAAAGGTAGAATTTACGCATCTCACTGGGAGGACTGGAAGGCATTTTGTGACACTAGCAAAAGTTCACGGGTGGAAAAGTGTGGGAGGAAATCCCTGGTCCTAATTCAAGGCTTCTCACACTTTGATGTGCCTGCTGATCTGGTCATCTTGTTAAAAGTGAGATACCTGGGCTTTCCCTAGAGGTTCTAATTGAAAGGTCTGGGATGGTGCTGATGACCACATGATGAGTAGCACTGCCCTAGAGTAAGGGAAGGGAGACGGCGGGAAAGTCAGTCTGGGGTCGCTTTCTTGAGGGCTTCCAATGTCCTACTTACTGACATTTTTATACACACTAGGAAATGGCATTTTGCTAACATTTTAAAATAGGCATTGGATGCAATTTGACTTGTATTTTTGGAAGATAATCTGGAAGCACCATTGTTGGGTGGCCTAGAGCAGGTTCCTCAAAGTATGGGTCCACAGCTATCAGTGTCACTTAGCAATTTAAATTCTACACCTCAATCAGAAACTGTGGGCTTGGGGGCCAGCAATCCGTGTTTTAACAAGTCCTTCAGGCTACTCGGATGCACAGCAAAGCTGGAGAACTGTGATGGAGGAGAAACTGAAAAAGGGAGATCGGACAGGAAAAAGCAGGCCCAAGAACCTGAGTGTTCACAAAACTCTTTGAGATCCTAGGCCGGGCTTGGCAGCTCTCCCGTAGTGCAATGTAAGCTCCTGGAGCCATTGTTTGGACCTTGGATCTATCATTTCATTGCTGTGTGACCATGGATCAAGCTACTTGCCCTCTATGAAACTCTATCTCCACCTGGTGGACGAAATCTCTTACGGTCCCAACAGTTTACAAGAAATAGGGACAGGAGGCACAGTGACTTGTGTGAGGCTGCCCTGGGACAGTAGCAAGTACTGCGGTGGGGTGTGGGTGGGGTGTGGGTGGGATGGGCAAGGGAAGGACAGACCAAGTCTAAGAAAGCCTTGGGGGTTCTCTTCCCCTAGATTTCCTGGACCTATGCCTTGGGCAAGCAGCAAGTCAGTTTCTACCAGGTCCTGTTACAGGAGGTGACCAGGAAAAATGACAACAAACCACCCAAGGCAAAGAGTCGCCCATGGATCTTCAACAAGATCTTGGGGACCACTGTCAAGCTGATGGAGCTGAAGCCAAACACGTCTTACTGCCTCACTGTCCGCGCAGTCAATACAGCCGGGGTGGGGAAGTGGTGCAAGTCCTACAAAGTGAGCCCTGGGAGAAGAGGGGCCCAAGGGGTCCGGGAGAGAAGTGTTCCCCTTGGGGGCTGGGAACACCCTTAGGCCCCTTTTACGCCCCTGCTTGCTTTCCTTCTACCTGGACAAAGAGGCATCAATTCCATGCTGCCCTCTCTTGGAGGTTTAAGAATCGCATGGGGCCCATGGGGAATGCATCTGTATTCATCATCAGTATGATGTTCATCTTCCCAAATCACTGGTTACTGGAATCTTCGACTTAGTGCCAGTTGTGAGTGGGCCTGGAAAGAGAGGGAAGAGGCCGAAGGGTGACAAAGGAGGGCACATCCAGGGTGTAAGGGGGAAGGGGAGATGCCTGTGGTTGGAAACACCGGGGAAGCACAGGTTTAATCCTGCCTTTTAAAAGGTTTCTGGTGTTGGTAAGGCTAAGACCCCATTTAGTAAACTGAGAAGGGAGTGAGAAGGAATTCTGAGGCCTTTTCTTGTTTCGTTTCAGTTTGCAACCGTGTGTACTGACTTTAACAGTTTCCCTGAGAACAATCCCATCCAGATCACGGTACAGCGCAAGGAACCCCAGCGAAGGACTGTGTCTCTTGGGCTGGAGGACATGCGGAGGCTGGAAGATCTGGAATACCTGTTTCCCTACTAAGGCGGGGACGGGGCTCTTGGAAGCCCTTCACCTAGCTTCAGCATTGATCCAGAGCCCACAGGAACCAGACCATGAAATGTACCACCAGCACTCTGCCAGGGCACTGCTGACACCCCACGAGCCCAGGGCCTGGCAGGACTGCTACAGGAATGCCACGCCTGGACTGGGCCCAAGCTAGCAAGGTGCTACCCTCACCTGGACACAACGCAGCTCAGGCCACACTCGACCACTGCCCACAGATGCTAAGTCCCCTCCACCCCCAGATCTGGGCTGGGTCCAGGTCCCTCATTAAAGAACTGCAGGTCACCCCCAGGCTCTGCTTTGTGCTGTGGATAGCCTCAGCTGTGCTGGCTCCCACCCACCTTCCTAGTGTCTGCCGGCACTGAGTCCAGGTAGGTGGGCAGACAGAAAGTGGGTGGGAGGGCAAAGGGACGCTACCATCACCTACTTACTGACTGGTTCTGCCGGCACCATCCCTTTCCTTGAGGAACAGACTGGGATGCAACTCTAAAACATGCCTCTAACCTGAAAAACAGCATTTTGGACAGAGGAGGTGGAGCACCCTGAGAACGGACCTGGGGCTCTGGAGGGACGTGGTGCAGAGTACCCAAGCTCAGGCGGCACATCTGATTTAATGCTGCCTCTTTCAGGATGAGGGCATGTACAAGCCGTTTGAGCTCTCTGGGCTCAGTCTCCCCATCAGAAGTGGGATGTGAGACCCTACCAAGCACAGCTGCAGGGTTATGAGGGTCACATGAGGCTGCAATACACATGCTCGCACTGAGCGGGAACTCTGAGCTGGAGCCTCCCGCCTCCCTTGGGCCCCGTCGCAGAGAGGTGCAAAGCGGGAGCCAAGAGCCATGGTGAGAGTTGTGCAAAACCATGAAAGCGGATGGGGTGGGGGACATGAGAAGGCCTGAGCATTCTGTCCAAGGACGGTGTGGAATTCAACCCGAGTAGATCCACCTGAACACTGGAGCAGGCACGTGGAGGCAGGCTGCTAGGAGGGCAAGATTGTGGCCAAGGGCCTGCGGCCCCCTAGTGGAGAGTCCCTTCCCAGGGTAGGATCCCCTGGGGCAGAGAGCCACCACCAGACCCCCCGACCCCCGCAGCACACCACACCCATTGGTGCCAGGGCACCTACCCCGTCACTGCACTGCTGCTTAGAGTCCTCCACAGACACAGCCCTCCCTGCACCGTGAGCCCTGCAGCCCCTGCACGCGTGACCCAGCCAGAAGTGCCCCCTAGAAGCGCTGCAGGCAGAGTCCCTGTGAAGGATGTGATGTCCCAGGCTCTGTGTAGAGCAGCTTTTCTTACTGGAATTCTAGCTGGAGGTAACAGCCGCGTAAGCAGTGCCTGCCACACGGATGGCACAGCCACAGAGTACCCTCTGGCTGCCATCACATGGCTCCAACCAGCCGTCTGCTGGCCTGGGGAGAGGGGAAAGGCAACATCCTGGTCAGTGTGGTTTTGGCTGAGTCCAGTGCAAGGCTAGACAGAACTGATTTAGCACCGTCCTTGGTAAGCATTGGGATTCTAGGACAAGAAATTAAGACATACAAAATATAAATTATTTATTTGGTCATGGAACCTAGGGATCAGTTCTGTACAGGATCAGAACAGAGCTGACACCTAGGTGAAAGGGGCAGCAGCAGGGGCCTGGTAACACCTGGTGCCAGCCACCCCACCAGCACCAGCAAGGTACAGAGTGATGGCCAGGACGGAGCCGAGCAAGAACGTCTTGTGACCTCCCATCTGTTGCTCTGGGGAGGGACTCTGCTGGGGTCTGTGCAAGGACAGCAGGCCACTCTCAGGGTTACCACCCTGGTCTCTGGTCTCCATCAGGATGAGCAGCTAGCCGCAGCCAAGTCCAGGTGGGGTCGCAGAAAATGAGAGATTTCTCATCGCCTCCATCTGTGAAGGGGAGGGACAGGATGGGGTCTCACTTTGAGGAAGGAAAGCTGCCATGCAATCCCAGGAGCCACTACAGAGAATCTGTGGTTCACTCTAGTCATCAAGCTGGCTACTTTTCTGCACTAGTCGTAAAACTCAGGCTAGACAGCCACCTGGCCTGGGGCGCCCAGCAAGGCTGTCTGATTAACGCCTTAGTTTCCAAAGTTATATCCACCTATCTTTGCCCCTCCTGTTTATAGACAGGAGAACAGGCTAACCAAGCTCATACAGTGGTTAACCAAGATGGTATAATGAAAGGCAGAACCAGGATTTAACCAGGCCTCAGGCCTTTAACAAAGAACCACTGCCTCGCGCTGGACTCGCTCTTGAGAGAACGGCCAGGTACTGCCTGGCTCTTCCGTACTCCCTGCATTTCCATAGGCCTCCCACTGGCCCTCTGAGACCTGGCGTCCACACACCAGCTCAGCAGATGTGGGTGCCTGGTGAGCCCTCACAGTTCTATGCCCAAAAGGAAAGTGACGGAGGGACTGCCTTAGGGCAGAGAGCCAGGTACATAACCACCCCTCTCCAAACTCACATCCGGAGGCATTTGTCCTTCCCACCACTCGCCACTCTCTGGCCATCTGGACTCCAGTCAACCGCATACACCTAGAACAAGGAGGGGTGGCATGTGAGACAGGGTGGAGGGAGGAGGGCTTCAAGCCACCCCTACTGCCCCCAAGGATTGGCAGTACCTCATCTGCATGGCCTGGCAGGTCTGTGGCCAGCTTCTGGGCCTTCACGTCCCACACCTTCAGGGTGCTGTCACTGCTACCGCTGACGAGGAGCCGGCTGTCAGCTGACCAGGCGACCTGGTACACGGCAGCCACGTGACCACGCAGGGAAGCCAGGTATCTGGGCCAGAGAAAGATGACAATGGGCGTTAGAACTTCATGTCCAAAGTGTCCTCTATGCCCACAGCAGTGGTTCTCAACCCTGGGAACGTGGACAAACTCTCACTGCCTAGTCCTCACCCCAGACCAATTTCATCATTACCAGTCCTCATGAATTTGTAAAACGTCTCCAAATGAGTTGCTTCTAGGGCTGCCTCTTGCTGGGCCTCTGACCCGCTTAACTGTGCACCTCTTAGAATCCAGTGCAGCCATCTTTAGCCCATCTGCCTGACACGCGCCCGGCACATTGGCTGCTTGCCGACCAGTGGCATGGAGCAACAGCGACAGTGGGCCAGGGCCACCTGCGAATGTCAGGTGATGACGGACGAGCCGTGCCCAGTCCTTAGCGGGGACTGGGTGACCCACTTCAAAGGGCCACTGCGTGGAGATGCACAATGCCTGACACAGGTGCCTGAGGACCCCAGGATTTCCCTTGCTCCTTTTCTCTTCATGCCCACAACTGTGCTTCTCCTCCAACTTCGGCAGCCCCAAGGGCCTACTATCTTGCTACACCAGTGCTTCTCAGTGTTTAATGGCTGCACGCTTGGCCCTTGGCTGTTGCTCTCCTTGGATAGGAAATGGACCAACACTCCCAGTGCCCACGTACGGATGGTCCTAAATGTCTAATTTCATCCTAACAAGCTGAGAGGTAGGAGCCTGCATGTTACTGAGGAGGAAACAGAAGCTCGAGAAATCCAGACACCTCCTGAGGCCAGCTCGTAAGTGGTGGAGCCAAGTTCCTTCCAGAGCGGCAGCATCGCTTCTCTCCCCACAAACGTCCCACTCACTTGCCGGTCCTGCCGTCCCACAGCTTGATGGACTTGTCGAAGGAGGCGCTGGCAATGACACGGGAGTCAGGGGAAAAGACCACCTGGTTGATGAGGGCCTGGTGTCCCGTCATCCGTGCGAGGGGCTTCTTGTCCTCTGCTGGGGACCACAGGAATAAGGTGAAGTCGTCTGAACCAGACACCAGCCTCTCCGGGCCCTGACCCTAGCAGGGGAGAAAGTACACCGTGTTGGCTGTGGTCTCAGGGAGAACCTGGACGCCACTGTGATCAACACCGACCCCGAGGCCAGGGCCAGGAGACACCCTTGCCCTCCCCTAGAAGGAGACTTGATGCACAGGGACAATGCCCTATGTAGTTAAATGGAAAAGTGAGGGCCAGAATGGTGTGAAAAGGGGAGGACTTCACGTGCTCAAGCACACATGCATCTCTATTCTAGGCAGTGAGCACATCACATGGAGGGACAGATAAGGAATCTCTAGAAGGAGAGATGGCAGCACTCAGTGTTTCTTCAAGGACTGGATGGGCATGTGATAGAGATAAGAAATTTCTCACTGCCTTTTCTTTGTTTTGAATCTTAGAATACATGACTGTGTTACTTAAGCTAAGTAAAATGTGCCTTGGGAATATGATAAACAAGTAGAACAAGGGAAATAAAGTAATCCCTAGGACACAGACTTTGGGGTTATAAACTAAGACTACTGAGCACAACAGTTTGTAAAAGGTATGTAAAGAGGGCCCTCCCTGGTGGCGCAGCGGGTTAAAGCGCAGCACCAAGAAGCTAAAGCC